ACTGCCTGGGCAGGGGCAGAGGAGGGGCAGGACTGAGCTCTGCTCTGGGGGGAGCAGGGACAGCCCCCAGGGAATGGCTGGAGCTGTGTCAGGGCAGGCTCAGGGTGGATCTCAGGGAAAGGTTCTTCCCCCAGAGGGTGGTTGGCACTGAACAGGCTCCCCAGGGCAGTGGGCACAGCCCCAAGGCTGCCAGAGCTCCAGGAGGGTTTGGACAACACTCTGATGGACAGGGTGGGAATGCTGGGGTGTCTGTGCAGGGCCAGGGGTTGGACTCAATGATCCTTGTGGGTCCCTTCCAACTCAGGATATTCTGTGATTCTCTGATCTCATTCCACCCCCTGCCATGAGCAGGGACACCTTCCACCAGCCCATGTTGTTCCAAACCCCATCCAACCCGGTCTTGAACACTTTCAGGGATGGGGCAGCCACAGCTTCTCTGGGCAACATTAAGCAAAGAGTTTTACTGTATCTGCAATTTAACTTCTGTTAGAGCACAACCCCAGAGCCCAGTGACATTTTGCAGCTGTTTGACACATCAGCAGTGCTCGCTGTTTGAGGAAAGAGTTCAGGGCAGGTGAGCCCAAGTGAAAACTAACAGCTCTGCAAGGTAAGGAAGAAGCAAAGCTCCGGCATTTAAGGCCTGGGACCAGCTCCCAGCTCCACCAGACCTTCTCTGCAACAGTAAAGTCTCTGCTGTTTATAAAAACAAATATGATTCTACTTTCATTAGTTCTTGTCTGGTTTATACACTGAGCTTCTTCACTTGTATAGTACTTTATGCTTCCTTGCTAGCACACCATACAACCATATCCCAACCTCCACTGTGGCCTTTTAGTACTATAAGCAGAATACATTTATAGTCTTTATATTACAGAAATAATATAAATACTCTAAGTATATTCCATTTATAGTACTTGGAGTAACTTGGAGCGAGGCACGTGGAGTGCTAACGTGTGTTTCACAGAAAACTCTTCCTGTAGGTCAGAATCAATGTGCCTGTACTGCAAAAATGATGCAGAACCAGGGACTGTGTCAGCAAGTGAGGAAGGAATCAGATCTAAGAGATGCAATTGTATTTTTTCCTTGTGCTGTTGCTTGAAATGGATCGTTAATCACAAACACTATCACCGGATATCCACAATACAGAGAGAATTGCTGCCCCTCCATACTTTTTGAGGTTATACCTTGCCACAGTAAGACCTGAGGCACAGCCTCCCAGGGACACCTGGTGCACACTGAGCCATGTCTGAGACAACTCACCTTATCTGGCAGCCGCTGGGCAGAAGTGTCTGTGATCCTGTTGAACACCTTCTGCACTG